TTGATCTTAACCTCCTTCTTGAGTCCAATTTGTGATGATGGATTTTTGATCTTTTGAAAACCATCGACCAATTTTTCATAATATTCTTTGAAAAACTAAAATAATCTAAATTCAATTTGTTACTAAACAATATTAACTTGTTTGTTATAGTCAAAACTTTAATGTTATAATCAACTATAGGTCAAACAAATTACAATTCTTACTTATAATGCTCTTTGAAGAATACTTTTTACTTCTGAAAAACCCAAAATCAGTATACTTTATGATATGAGAAGTTCGCTAGACGTTAATATTTCTACTATAATAATTTAAATCTCCCTTCAAGTAATAGTATGTTATGTTTGGCATGACCGGTTAAATTATCATTGACCAATAATGATGCAAAAAATAATTAAGAATTCAAATACATATCAATTGAAAAACTAGAAGATTATTCAATCCAATGATTTCTTTTATAATGCTCGTACTATTTATCGAAAATCAGTTATAGACAATGGCTAGCTAGCTAAAGTTGGGCCTAATTTTTATAATTTTAAAAATTAATTAGGATGATATATGGGGTTTTTTTGCTCCCCACATTGACCATTTGGATATAATTTGTATCACAAAGATATTTTTAACAGATGATTACATGATTTTTGCAACTTAAAGTACTATTCAAATTTTAAATTATGAACATTATTTTCATATTATACCATCGAGACAGTGTATCGTGTGAATCCTAGTGAGTTAAATCCTAAACTTTTGATAAATATTGATTCGAGTGATGTTAAATGGTTTAAAAAATTTATTGTTTGTTAATTGTCGCCGACTAATTTCTTAACAATTACGATTGAGAATAGAGTACTCTTCATTTCTATAATTGGTTTATTGTTAGAGCCTAATGTTTTCCATCTAATGATTTTTGAAAAATATGTATTATTGTTGTAATGCAGTGCATTGAGATGGATATTAAAGAATGCCGATGATACAACTTAATTTTGAACCTTTATAAAATATTTTAAGCCCTAACGATTGATATTTTATAACATGATTTGTTGATTGTTAATTTGAGTGGACTGTTTTCTCAAGAATAGGAGGAGAAATTAGAAGTTGGAAATTATAAACAATGCATCATATTCTGTTATTCATATCCTTGCACTTGACAATTTGAAAAGATAACTCAATTTCAAGAAGTACTTATTGACCTATAAGAGATTTATAAAATCTCATATACTAGCTATAGATATTCCATCTCGTACCAATGTCTTATATTGACAAATTTTTAGCATTATATAAATGGCATGCATGAAGCATTGTTACAATTGAGTCTAAAGAGAAAAACCTTCTTAAAAAAATGAGCAAATAAGAAATATGGCCCAATTAGGCAGTGTATTATTTTTGGAGAGTACATAGACATTTCAGAATTGGTTTTGAAATATAAAAAATAGAGATCTCTCATTAAGTTATTTCAATATCGAAAAGAAACATAATCAAAAACAAAAAAGTTGTCCATAATATTTTTGTACATGATGTACTGCTTCATTTCATTTTTTAAAAGAGAGAGAATATCAAAATAAATTCGTCAATTCATATTGGTCCAAGTAATGATTGGTCAAATAAAAGGATGCAATCCTATTAAAACTGAACTTATTAGAAAAACCTCAAGTTTTTGAACCTATAGTTTAAACACCTAAAAGTGTATATTTGTGCAAAACGTAAATAAGAAAAATGAAGCTGTAATATGTAATGCACGCTCTCAACAAAATAAGTTTGCAAAGACCATGGTAGATACAATCACAAAGTTCATATTTGTTGTCGTGACGATATGTAAATGGTAATTATAGCCAATTCATTTGACATAATTATTAATGTTATCCTTGAAGAATTTAATATGATGAAGCAAAAACACGTTGTACTCTTTTCTTGATCAAGATTTTGTTGCATTGAGTTTTCGTGGCAAGATTTTTAATGAGACCACTTTTGCAGCATACTCAAAACAATAATATACTATTTTTCATTCATTAGGATTTTTTTCATTAAATTTTTCCTAGAAAGATTTTGAGGTATATTCTTTGTATAATAAATGCTAATAACCTATAAGACATTACCCTTAAAATAGTTTTATTTTTTATTTTTTATATGTTTCAAATTGTGTAAAACTTTAGAAGAAAATAACTAAAAAAAATAAATAAATTCTACTTTCAATGGTACATCATAGTGGCTAAAATCAAAGAAAGTAAGCCCATGTTTGGAAATCATTATTTATATATATATATATATATATATATATATATATATATATATATATATATTTACATAATCATTTTCGACCACAACTTTATGCAATAAAATATTCCATACATAAATCAAAAAAAATTTCCTACTTTTTAACAGCTTATTTTCTCAAAAATCACTATTCAAAATATTAGTTTTTGAAAATAATGGCCACCAGACATAGTCTAAATATCTCGTATGAAAGCTTGAAATTTATAACAAGACAACACAAAACACAGACTTACCAAAATTGCAAATGATGAGGATGACTCGATTCAAGATTATTAATTGAAATCAGGGATACCTGCACTCTTTTTTCTATGATCAATTTTTTTCATTATTTCTGCTAACAAGGTTTTAACAAGACAATATTTTATTATAATTATTAGTATTATTTTTTTTCCTTCCTTCGATATTTTCCTTCCATTGGATTTTTATTGATCTAGGTTGTTTAGTGAGTTAGTTATTGTGCAAATAGTTAACAAATGGGGATTATTGATATATTATGAGATAATTATTAATATCTATTTAGTCTTATTAAATTCTTAGATTAGTCCTATCTATTCTGAAAGAATTTAACATATTCAAATTGTAACTCTCATTTCGAACATGTAAATATAGGTCCGTTGTTATAATAAAGTTACACACAAGTCTATTGGCTCTTTCTATTCTTCTCTTATATTTCTCTCTTATTCCTTTAGTTTTATAACATATTTATTATTATTCTTATTTTCCTATTTTTTATAGCATTTTTAACTTTGACCTTTCATTAATTAGCATTGCTTGTCACCGATAATGATTTTAGTTTAAAAATTATGCTTAGTGGGGATAAAAAAAACTTATTTATCCATCGTATATTTACATTAGGCAAAAGAAAAATCAATAAATACAAAATTGTTACTAAATATATGACCCATATTTTAAAGCAGGGTAGCATAAATTTTGAATGAAAACCGCCACTAGAGACCAAATATGCTAACTAAGGAAGATTAGTGATAACAATGTGATGGAAAAAAAGGTTGGGTACTTATATGTGACAATGACAAAGATTTGGTAAGTTTAATAAAATTTAAACGTGGTGCATTTATAAGAAATATGGTGTAAATATAAGTGCCTTAATTATATTCACATCACAATTCAATTGTATTAAAGGTTTGTGAACATTTATTTATGTCACACTTGTGTCTTCAATTTATCGCATTCTTATCTTCAACATTCAATTAATTAACACGTATCAAAAATAAGAATGTCAATAAAAAAATTGGGGACATAAATATATATGACAACACGTAACGTGTATATTTTTTAATACATTTGAAATATGGTACACTTATGAGAAACCTTGATGTGATATGGCCACCCAAAAGCAAAACTAGGGCTTGTTGGTTGTTATTAGAAGCAACAAACAACTTGGCCATTTCTTCCACTCTATTTCGATTCAATCTCGAATATTTATAGAACTGATGAACTTGTAAATTGTGATCACATGGTTTATTTTTCTATTATTCCACTTCATCACATAATAATGCAGAATTTTATGTCGTGATATGAAGGGTTCATATATTGAAGATTTGTTAAGAAAAAAGAATAGGGGAAATATAACATGGATGCCAACTCAACAATCATATTCAAAATGGTTGAAAGATTGATTGTGGATTGAATGTGCTCATCCGTACTATTTAGAATTAAGTTCACCAATTGCACTGAACTTTTTGAAAACTGGCCTTTCTATGAACATTGGAAGAGTGTCAAAAGCAAGTTGGCTTCGAACTTTTGAAGATTAAATTTTTGTTATATATCTGTAAGATTCCTCAAAACTAACACGTTTCGCCCATAATCTTGAAAAGTCAAACTCTATAATTTGTGAAATTAATTGATATTTTGTACTCTTTAATCTTGGATTATATCTTTTCTGTAAATTGCTTAGAGCGGTTTCTCCAAATAATCTCCTACTCGAACTTGATGCATAGTAACTTCTTTAAAAATTTTGTTTTGTTTTTATATGTTTAATAAGGATTCAAAAATAAGTGCTTATTCTTTCGCATATCTGTTTTCCTAAATCATCTCAACATTTTGGATTACGTTCAGTTGCACAAACGGTGAGTAGATCTGATATACTTCATGACTCTGCTAGTGTTTGCAGGATTATTAACAAACAAAATATCAGTAAATGAACGTTTAATTGACATGTTTGATTGGTACATGGCCATACTAAAATAGATGTGTATATTTTAACATAGTTTGTTTTCTCGGTCGTACATTCATAAAGGCAACGTCTTCTCGGTAGTATGTACATGTCATGAGGCAGATGTTTATATACTAACATAGTTTGGGTTAATCGTGAATGATCTAGTAATTTATAATTCTGAAACCAATCCAGTAAAGAACTCAGAGGAGTAACACAAAATATTCTTTTACTTGACTCCAAATTTACTGAGAATACGTTACACAAGTTATGCCTAGCTAGTGGGGATTCAGTCTTAGGAATCTTTTGAGTTTAAAATGCAAGAAATCAAATCATGTGTATCATTTTTATCAAATAATAATTGATTGTCAACTCTTTTGTTTCTTAGTAAACCAGATTTTGTAAGTTAAACATTCTTGTCGTGCTAGCTGTTTTTGCAATAATATCCTATTGCTACAGTGAACTCTGCAATCACAGCTATGTCATGGAAAATTCAAACTCTTATAGTATATAAAGGGCTTTCGTTGGCCATGTTTGTCTCACGAAATAGAATCAAAATATATCAATCTATTTTTAAGGGATTGAATTATGACAATCCTGAAGCTTCTTTCAGTTTTCTTTCTTCAACTTCTGTGTGTTCATGTTTTCCTTTTCGACGGGACTAATGCACAATCCCTAAGAGTAGGGTTCTACAATAGCACATGTCCTTCTTTCGAGGAGATTGTGAGGAACACAACTGCTAGGTTGATATCTCGAGCACCATCACTTGCTCCTGCATTGCTGAGAATGCATTTTCATGATTGTTTTGTTAGGGTACGTATGTTAATGATATATACACACTTTATAGCTTTTTGAAGTTTTTAATAGAAACATAAATGCATAGCTATTTTCATATTCTATTCCATTAAGAATTAGCAAATGACATGCTAAAGTCATATCACGCGGCCTACTTGAATGTTACAACTAACAAAGTGCCAAAAAGATATTCTGATTGAAATGCATTACTAAAGTGGAAAACTCTAGTTAGAACATAAAATCTTACCATCATCTTTAGTAGGATGATCACTTTTTAAAGTATATTGTCCCTGGCAGATCTTCGCATAACAAATTAGTCGGAATTAAAATTAGTCTGTAAATTAAGTAATAATGCTGCAATTCAGTATTAAAGAAATGTGAGAATTTTGTGTGCATGTCTGTGTAGGAGAAATAATAAAGTGTGATATAATATGTTTTGTATAATGAATTGGCAGGGATGTGATGGATCTGTATTAATAAACTCTACATCAGGAAACCAGGCCGAGAAGGATGCAATCCCTAACCAAAGCCTTAGAGGTTTCCAGGTTATTGATGCTGTCAAGACTGCCGTAGAGAATATATGCCCGTCTCTTGTCTCGTGTGCTGATATCCTCGCTTTAGTAGCCAGAGATGCAGTAACATTGGTAACGCGTCAGACTTCTGATTTAAAAAAAAAAAAAAAAAAAAAAATTTTGTCTACACGTGCTGTTTGCTGATTAATAATTACATAATAATTGGCAGATGAATGGACCATCTTGGCGAGTTCCATTAGGACGACGAGACGGAAGAGTGTCTAGATCATCAGAGGCCTTGGCAAATTTACCCCCTCCTTCTGCCAACATCACTCAACTCAAAGCATCATTTCGCTCGAAGGGTTTAAGTGATAGAGAGCTAGCAATCTTATCAGGTAAATTCCAAAAACTCACTCAAAAAAAATAATAATAATAATAATAATAATAATAATAATAATAATTATTATTATTATTGAGGAATATGTTAGTTTCTTCTCCTAAAATCAAACTTTCTTAAATAGAATTTATATAACTTTTATGCGTAAGAATTACAAATTAAGGGAATGATCCTACATATAGGGTTAGAAGTAACTCTTTCCACTTATACTATTAAAATATTATGAAAAATAATCTCAAACAATTAGGAAAAATGTTCAGGAGAAAATGTTCTTTTGCTTATATTTTTATGAGTATTCGATACTCATCACTCATGACATTACTTCATTTGTCATATTCATTGTGGTTGCTTATTCGTCAATACCAGTTTAACTTACTCCGTATCAGAAGCTCTGAGCCAAACAAATATTTTAGAGATACAGGGAATCCCCATTAACTGACCTTTTTTATCCTTTGTAGTGACTCGATGAATTCAATTAGTAGATCGTTTTAGGAATGACTTCTCAAAGTCAAGATGGTATTTAAAAACTAAAACATACAATTTCCTTTCAGGAGGGCATACCATCGGTATTTCTCACTGCTCTAGCATCTCAAATCGGCTGTACAACTTTACGGGCCAAGGTGACACAGACCCTTCATTGGATCCCAACTACGTTGTACAGTTGAAGAGGAAATGTAGCCCCACAGACACAACTTCCATCATCGAAATGGATCCTGGAAGTGCCAGAACATTCGACACCAGTTACTACACACTTGTAAGGAAAAGAAGAGGATTATTTGAGGCCGATGCAGCACTTCTGAATGACAATGCAACACGAAATTACGTTCTACGGCAGGCAAATTCAGGTGGATCAAACTTCTTTAATGATTTCGCTGCTTCAATGGTGAAGATGGGAAGAATTGGAGTGATTACAGGCAATAGAGGTGAAATCAGGAGGATATGTTCAGCCATTAATTAATATAACTCTTTTCAATTAATTCATTATTATTAATTATTATTTATTATATGTTCTTTATTTGGTTGATTGAGTGCGGTTTAAATAAATTATGGCCATTGTGAATGTAATAAATGATTTATTTATCCTCTGTTCACGTTATTAGTAGCTACCTTGAAGTTTCATGTTGGAAAATTATTGTTGTGTGCAAGCAGTTCAATTATGCAACTGCAATATGAGAAATGTTATTGTTCCTTTTCTTCCTCTCTCTTTTTATCAATTGTAAATTGGCTTGGCTTTACTCTTGTTTATTGTGCCCGACTCGTCCAAAAGATAAATAATTGTTGATTTTGCTAATGTTGGAAATTTATATGCACATTAGAATTTAAAATAATATCTCAGTTTCCAACAAATATCTTCTTTGTATTTAGAGAGAAATTGTAATAAGAGTTATCTTTTTTTTTTTTTTGAATTCTGCAAACTCAATTGCTTATATTGAATACAAACAATCATGATCTGCAATCCACAGTTGTTCAATTATCCAAACTCCAATGAAAATCCCATAGGGAATAAAAATGAAAGAATTAGGATTTCTCTATTCTTATGCTAACAAGGTAACAATTGCCTTGTTATGTTTTCAAGCCCTAACAGTTTATTAATACAAGTTTAAGTGGGGTTGGTTTCTCCCTTGAGCTTAACCTGGTTCAATATTTAATTAATCTAATTAATTAAACTTGAGCCATAAATTAATTAATACAATTAATTAACTTGAGCATACTAACAAGCAACTCAATTAATTAATTATAAACATGTCCAAGATTTTTTAATTAATTAATTAGTGACATTATTTTTCTAGTTCTCCTTTTAAGTATGATCCATTAGATTCCCAATCACGATGCTTAATGATATAAATTATTATTATGACTTAATAACAATCGATAAATTAAAATACCCATTTTAATTAATTTATATTCGTTGTCTCTGATTGACATTTAGCAATATGACAATGCATATGCATTGAAAAATGTCATGTGGTATGACAAAATCAATCTTTTTAATTTACAGTGAAACTCTAATCTTTTTGTTAATATGATCCAATTAATTATCAGATATGAAAATGCGTCAATCATGATCATTGATCATATCTTTCATCCCACTCTTAAGTCAATATAAGTCAAAAGCTCTGTTCGAATTATGAGCATACCTTAGCCAAGGATTTTGATATCAATTTAACTGAATTAAATGTAGATTACAATGTCTTACTATTTAAGCGTGACAAATTCTCTATTGATCATCCGCAACTTCATATGACTACTTGAACGATGCCATATTAGCAACTCATGACAAAGCAACATCCAATATCATCAAAGTGTAACTGTCCCCATATAAAGCACTATGACAACCTAAAGTCAAAGGACCAATTTCACTATTGAACATTAGAGATTAACCAATGACATTAAGATAGTTAACCAGTAGGAATCTAACTAGTGGGTCTCTAAAGTTTTGTTTTATAACACAACATTCGTGTGTTTTTTTAGGTGTTACTACACTTTAACTTGTAAGATCAGATACTTACAAGCACGGAATGTCATACATGATGATCTATTCGTAATAACGATAACTATATCATTACTTACGACTACGAATGATATAAGATTCAATGATACATAATTTGTATATCAGAATCACAACTCCGTGTGATTAAGTAATTCCTAAGCCTTGAAAAACATTCGTGTGTTTTTTTAGGTGTTACTACACTTTAACTTGTAAGATCAGATACTTACAAGCACGGAATGTCATACATGATGATCTATTCGTAATAACGATAACTATATCATTACTTACGACTACGAATGATATAAGATTCAATGATACATAATTTGTATATCAGAATCACAACTCCGTGTGATTAAGTAATTCCTAAGCCTTGAATCTTCGAACTCTATTACTTAATTTATTATAATAATAATTCAAATAAATAATAGCTTTTGTCATAAATAAAATGCATTAGTTATATTAAATGTATTCACGTCCAAGATTGATGTAACCTAGGGCATAACACTTACAGCTAAAGATGTATTGAAATAGTTGATCTCAATTTTAAGTTTCATTGAGCTCTGATGTTGTTTGGTTGAATAACTTCAATCAATTGAACCTATTAAGTTACTAACACTCTCGAAAATATTTAGACCAAAATATGCGACATTAATCAATAACAAGTAACGAGTCACTTAATTATTGTCTCTAAATGATTAAGTTTGTTGACCTTAAAAATACATCAACAGAATCTCGGCCACCTTCCCTCCACGTAGGTCCCACCTAACTTGAACGCCCTGTCAAGAGGATAAGGCCATTGATCGAGAAAAATATCCTATGACCATTTGTACTCCAACGATCAAATTAACGGCCCGATACGAAAAATATAAGTGCAAGAGTAGAAGAGAGAATTTGGCTAAGAAAAGAGTAACACACACGCACACGTATATAAATGAAAAATTGGCCAAGTGGAGTTAATGGTCTTTGTTTAAAGCCCAAGACAATGTTGTTCAATTTAATAAAGCCCAAACAATTGAATAGTCGATGCCAAATCGGCATATATATGACCCCATCCATTTGAGAATGTCACGAAATTTATAGGTATAACAATAGTTTCCCAAGTCTGAGTCATACATTTATGTATGGGTCGGATTTTGAAATAAAAATTGTCAATAGGTGAGATCTTACAGATTATCTTAGAAATATGACGAGCTCCAATGAGTGAGAGCTTTCTGACTGCCTCAAAAGTATGGGTTTCCCAAATAGATGAGGGCTTACAAACTGTTAAAAAAAATATGCATTAGTCCCAAATAGGTGAAGACTCACAAATTACCTCAAGAATAAACACTGTTCCAATAAGTAAGCTTACAATTTGCCTTGAAGATATCAGTGAAAGGTTGAATGAGCGAGGGATTATAGAATGCCTCGAAAGGTTGACAATATCATAATTTTGACAGTATCTCATATGTAATATGAACTAAACTAACCTATAATATAACATAATATAATATAATATCTCTACTACCCATGTATTAAAAAAAAAAAAAAAAGGATCCATTTGCCCTTCAAATTACTCACGATTAAAGTGAATAATGACAAATCAAATTTCCCCAATACATAATATGCCAAGAGTCCGTCATTTAAAATATAATGTGGGGATGGTATATCATGAATCATAGTAGATCCTATGCGTGCACAGCTCAATGTAAAAATATTGCTGTTGTTAAGCAAGTAACATATTAATTAACGTAGATAACGTGATATGATTGTAAATAGTTCTATGACATGTCAGCAGTAATAATACTAAGATACTATTATCACAATAGTCCTCTAAGTCCAAGTATAAATATCTATATCATGGTTGAAGTTAAGAAAATAAAACCTTTAATGGGAAGCCTTTAATTCTGCAAAAGCCTTAATTTGAATGTTTTGTTGTTTTGAAGATATTGAAGTGATGTATTAATGTGGCCAAAATTTAATGCATAGACGAGGCTCTAAAGTGGTTAAGTGACGCTTCAATTTTGTCAAAATTTAAAGTTTATGCTGAAGTGTGGATGAAGGATTTTTTACGGAGGTTTTAATGTAAGCTCCTTTTTTATGCTCATTTCATAATTTTTTAAGTTTCTCTGTACGATGAGTGGTTCACCCATTTAGAATCTTCTCTCATAGTATTCAGCTTCATTTATAGGAGGTATATGACGCCAGCCTTGGAGAATTTAGAGGCGGTCACTTTTGAGATCTACTTTTTCTCTAATGTGTTCATGCTTCTTTGTACAGTGAATGATTCACCCATGTAGAGGTGTCTCCAATTGGCGTTCAACTTTATTCATAGGAGGCATATGATGTCAACTCTGGAGAATTTAGAGGTGGTCCTTTTTGGGATCCACCTCTTCTTTGAGGAATTTATGCTTTCATGCACGTTGGATGGTTCATTTATGCAGAGACTTCTCCTTGGTGTTCAGCTTCATCCATGGAAGGCATATGAATTGTTGAAAATTTTTGATCGATCACTTGTTCTTGCCAGTCGATCACCATGCATTCGGCCAACTCTTCTGGCCAATCGACCGCCTGACAGTTTCAATTTTCTTACGTTTTAGTCCCATATATTCCGAATTGAAGGTTTTGAAAGGCACGGACTTTTGAAAAAATATATTTTTAACTAATTTTTCAAGATAAAATATATTTTTCAAGTTCAAATATCATTTTTTAAAATCATTTTTATATTTGATCAAATCATTACATTAAGATGACTTTTAATGCATAAAATTGTTTTTATGCATAGAAGGATTTTGAGTTTAAGCATTCATTACCAAATATCAAAGTGTTAGTACTTTTACATTTTATCCTAAAACATAAAAAATAAATAAAAAAATCAAGTCCTTGATCTTGCTTTGAAGTTTGGCTCTTAAGTTCTTAATTGTGTGAATTCGATCTTGACCTCCTTGAGTCTAATTTGTAATGATAGTTTTGATCTTTTGATGATCATTGATCAATTTTTCATAGTATACTTTGAAAAACTATAATCACTTAAATACAATTTGTTCGCAAATAAGATTAACTTGTTTGTTATAATCAAAGCTTTAAGGCTATAATCAACCATAGGTCAACATCTTTTTCCTTTTTGATTACGACAAGCAAGATGATTTGCAAAGTAAAATTGAATAATTGATAAGGAATAAAAATCTTAAATTTAATGCATATACTCCTCTATCTTTTATAAACCAATGGCCATTCACTTTAAGCACACATTTATCATTCACGTCAAGCATATCATTTCATATAAGGCACATCATCTCATGTATTTCATCAAGCATATCATCTCATATGTTTTTCCCCTTTTATCATAAGAAAAAAGATATAGCATTTAATATAAAAACACAACCATAGGAAACAACAAAAGATTCCCCCTTAAATTAATACATGAAGCCTAATCAAAAGGGTCCAAAATATTGGATATAGCATACATAGGCAAATCAGCGGATGAGTTTACGAAAGGTAAAGATACAAAGAGCTTAGATCAGCACAAGGGCTAAAATACACATATGCACAAAGTCATACCTAAGACTTTGGATGAGGAGGGGGTAGGAAAAGCGCATTGAACCGAGCATATATAGCATTTTGCTGAGCCTGCATTACCTTTTATTGAGCATTGTAGTAAGCATAAAAGGCATCTTCCTGAGCCTGCATCGTTGCTTGTTGAGCTTGTATTGCATCTTGTTGAACTTGCA